TTTTATAGCAATTTTTTTTCTTCTAAAATTATGGCAATGAGAAAAATTTAAATTGAGATTCTCAGCATAAGTTTTTCATTTTAAAAATTAAGAACGTTTTTTCTATCTTTTTATTTTCTTTAAATAAAAAAAAACTTTTTTTAGACGTTTTCATTATAACGCAGTAATTTTTAATAGCATTTCTGTTGACTTTAATTCTTTTTTCTTGGCTTTTTCTGGTAATTGAAAAACTGAGATGTTCAGCTTTAGAATTTTTTTTAAAAAAGTAAGATTGATTTTTATGTTTTCTGTTTCGCTTTCCGACATTTTCAAAAACGTTCTCGATTGGCCTTATTTTTTAGAGTTAATTTATGAATACGTTTTTCCAGGAAATATTATTCCGAACATTGAAATTTTAGTTTCAGTGATGCTATGCTGCTAAAAGATTTTGCTATTTGGCCCCAAGTATACAGCGTTCAATCGATTTATTTATTTTTTTTTTTGCCGAATATTTGGTTTTTGATCAAATCACAATTCATTACCACATTCAACCAAATCATATTCGTTGCGGAAATAAAAACGAAGGATAAATAACTAGGATTTACGATAAAACTGTACCAAAATACCGTATCAAAAAGAGATTATTTAATTGCACGATTAACAATCATGTGTCGTAATAACATCATAGTTAAATAACTGGATCGTCAAAATCATGTGGAAAAATACAGAAATAATTGGGAAAAAATATATTTATGCTGAACTCAGCACGAATAAAGCGTGTCAAATGCATGATTTAAAATTTGTATGTCGTAATAGAACAATTGGAATTTTTCATAATATGTGGGAATGCATAGCAATAACCAGGGGTGGTTGTGAGCCCAAGTCAAAATTCCGGAAAATTTCTTAAAATAAAAAAAAAGAAAAATTTAAATCGAAAAATTAGAAAAAAATTTAAACAAGGTTTTTTCCCTTTTTCTCAATATTTCAGACGTCTGAACCTTCGATCACGGTTAGTAAAAAATCCGGAAATTCGGATTTTTTCCGGAGCACAATCAGCCCTGAATAACTGCCGAAAAAAATTGTGGAAAAAAAAAAAAGAATTGCAAAAAAAAATTTATAAAAAATCACTTAGATTTAAGATGAAATCGTCACAAATAAAGTGCACAAAAAGTGGTTATTTAAATTTGCGATCTGAAACTCGTGTCGTAATAAAAATTCGGGATTTTTGAAATCACATAGAAAAGCGGAAAGAACCGTTTAACAAATATAAAAAAATCATTTATGTTTACGATAAAATCGGCTTAAAGAAAGCGCGTTAAACATACATTTACTAAAGAATCTGTTAAAATTGATTGTGTCAAAACGTGATGACTTAAAAGTTCGATTGAAAAATTGAAATTTTTTTTATTGTGTTTAGAAGCTCTCGCGGGTCACAGGTTGTGCACCCCTATTTTAATTGCATAAAATATAAATTTCAGTGGTAGTAGTCCATACAAAGCTTAATGGGTCTTTTTTCCCCTTCTAATAATGTTTTTGAGTTATAATTTACTAAATTCAGATTATTTTTTAAATAACAAAATTCACCTTAACTATATTCTCACTTTGTTATTTAATAAAAAATAGCTGTATTTTAATAGTTTTCCTATTACAATTAATATTTTGTATTTCCATTAGATATATTTTTCTTTTTTACTTTTCTTTCACCTCCTGTTCAATCATGTGCATATTTAATGCATTCCCCTTCCCCCTTGTAAATCTAAGACAAAACAAAATCAGCATGTCACACCTTTATGTTTGATTGAAGGCAGCTTATCAAAAAACCCTTAATTCTTTTGGACACACAATAGAAAATAAATTTGTCCCTTCCATGCGCCCTCTCATGGGTCAAATTTACCAGCAAATGGCATATGCCGGTGCTTCACATGGGCAATCTTGTATCTAGCGTTATTTTATTTCTAATGCTCGTCTGAGATCTGTTCCAGTAAAAATAGATAAGCTAGATAATAAACAAATTCATTTACCATAAAGAACACTACTATGCAACATTTTTCTTGTGTAAACCACATGGTGCATTTTGATGATTAGCTATATGATAGATTAATTCAATTTGTTGATCATTAATTGATAGATTGATTTAATTTGATTTTAATATTTTGAAATTCAAATTAAACATTTAATCAAATTGTTTAAACTTTGTTTGCACAGTAATTTTTCTTTATATAACTTTTACATCAACCCTTGCTCCCTAGTTACCCCCACAACAGAAACTGCAAAAAATGACTTACACTATACCTATATATTAATTTTCTGTAAAAACTCCCTATAATTTTTTTTTACCAGTTTTTCTGGAAAAAAAAAAAACTTTTGGTTTAAAGTCAATCTTTATTCTGATGGGATGAACTTCAAAAAATTGGTTTTGCATTTTAGACTTATTGTGATAATATATATCGTTCAGTTTTATGCATGATTACGTAGTGTTGATCACTGATTAATTGAACCTCATACAAAGAATAGGCATTCAGCTAGTATATATGAATCCCACTATAGTGAATTGAATGCAAACCTAGCAATAAGATTACGATAAACGGGTTTATATACCAAAAAAATATTTTTTAGAAAACGAAAATAGTACTGTTGGATATAGCGAATTGGATAATGCGTAATTTATTTATAAATTAACTGATTAAATAAATAAATTAAAAATAAAACCATTACTTAATTTTTATATTCTATCAAAGAAATTAGTGATTTTCGATTGATTAAAATTTAATTTTACATAGAGTTCAACAATTTTCGTGACAATTAGTAAAGATTCTAGTATTTTCTGGGGGAAAAACTCAACAGGATATCCAATGCTGATCTTACTTTTGAGATAGAAGTTTCGGAAATTTCACATTATTCAACACAGGGGAAGGGTAAGAAGATAAATAAGCTGCTTTAACAACATGTTTGACCAGATTAAAGAACATGTAAGAGTAAGATTTGACAAAATGTAAAGAAATGAAATAATAATTTGCAATCACAACTTGTGCAAATTTAAAGTTGTAGAAATTAAAAAAAAATATGCAGAGAGAGTCCACTGTAAGTGTATATAATGAAAGTTCTCACAACTGATGAAATAGTTCACTACATCTGATACGTCGAATTCATTATAGTGGGGTTCCATTATATATTATAAGACTAATTACTGTCTCTCACTTTTTAAAGCGAGAAACAGGAGATAAATGGGCGACCTAAATTAATTTTGTTGAAGACCAATTGAGAAGAACGATTTATGCCCATGAAAGTTTATTCTGAGAAAAATAAGATGAAAGTGCAGGACTAACTTTTTTTATAGCACATCTTATTTTCTCTGTATAATAACTCTAGAAAACAAATTTTCTACATTATTGAATTGTCAAAACTTGATCTTTGAAATCAAACAGATTGCAATGTAATCACTTGTTTTTAAAAGTGGACAAATCTTTCCCCTTGATCTCCAATTTTTAAAACATTTTTCATAATAGTAAAAAAAAAATATTTTTTTCAAATACATTACCAGGTATTGGTATAGGTGAAGTGGGTATAGCCTGGTGCATTCCATTCCACATGCAAGGATAGTTGGAAGGACGAAGTGGAACCTAAAACGAAAACACTGAAATATAATACACATAAAAAACTAAACTCAGCAGCGCGACAGCCCATAGAAGGCCAAGGCCTACTGTGTCCCTCTCAGTTTTCTTGACCTTGGGCTCTGGGGTGCAGGAGCAGATGTTCCGGTCAGGTGCTCAGCCGAACGCGGAACCTCCAGTGTTTAGTTCCCAAGTATGCTTGGTACTCATTTATCAACCCACTGAAGGGATGAAAGGCTGAGTCAACCTTACCCGGCTCGAGGATCGAACCAGGGACCTGTGGCACAACGCTACTGCTCACCCACCGGGCATCATAATACACATAAAGAATAGATTATTCTTTCTCACTCATGAATACAGCAATACTTTCATTTTTATTTGATTAGCAATGTAAATATTTACATAAAATTAATTTAGAAAAAAGAAAATATTAATCAAGAACTGATATGACTTTATTTTTAATGAAGATATTTTCAATTCAAACTAAACCAAAGTTTAGTGTTTTTTTTCTTCTTCAAACATATTAATATAGCTTCATTAATATTCACAGCTTATTCCTGTCACCAAAGTTTCTCTTATTCCTTTAACGTTTTTGTCTTTTCAACAACTCTAAACTCGCTCATTAAAGAAGTATAATTTTTCAGCTATAAAAAAAAATGTATAATGAACAATAAAAAAACTTTAAAAAAAAATGGAGATTTAATTGTCAAAACAAACATTTTAGAAAAATGGATGCCTGGGTATTGTACTTTAATCAGATTAAAAATAAATTAGCAAGAAGTTCAAACTTACAGTATTGACAGAATCCTTTTGAGATACACTTTTCGATCGATGAGATACAGGAGCACTAGTTGAATGCCCTTTTCTCCTATTAAATAAAAAAGCTTTAGCTGAAATATGCAATATTTTAAGTGTTCTTGGAAGCAATTTTCATTTTTAAAGTATGTATATTAGTTGAAAAAAGAATGTCGTAAAAAAAAAACTGGTTTTTTGGTTCTACCCCCTAAAAATCTGGGTTTTTGCCAACCCTGATTTAAATACTAATTCAAGAAGTATTAAAATAATTATAATAGGAAATTTCTTTAACATAACCTAACTAACAAATGTAAGTTAACTCTAAAGATTGTTCTTATTTTTTTTTCTTCACATTTACCACCAAAACTGATAAAATGCAATATAATGAAATATTATCAAAAAACATCAAATCTAAATTGTTTAATGTTTACAACAAACTAGCTACTAATTTAATACCAACGAGCCACTGTAAATAAAAACCAAAGTAAAATTTTATTTAAGCTCAGCCCCCTCGTGAATTGTACATAAATTTCATTTATAAACGCAAACTACATTCTAAATAAGTTTTAAACATACTTGAACTTAAATAACATGAACACTAAATGAGTAATTAAAACATGTTCATTAAAAAGTAAGTTATTTGATAAACTTATAATTCAAAAGTTTTACAACACATTTAGCTATGCATAGTTTTTAAGTTTATTTTTAACATCAGCTGATAATTTGCTTATTATATCATCTTTCCTTATTTCTTTAAATTTATTTTATAAATGAAATCAAAGATAAATAAAATAAATAAAAAAAAATTACATTAAGAATATACTCATAAATTTTAGATAAAAGTATTTGACTTGATGGTTTTAATTATTTTTTTTGTTTAGAAAAAAGTTCAACTTAATAATTTTCTTACAAAATTAAAGTTAAATTATAATTTAAGTAAGTCTTAATGCCTTAAACTACATCAAATCCAAATTATAGCATTGGATTAATTTACAAACAGATTTGCCTAAAAGAGGTAAGAAAAAAAATATTAATAAAACATGGTGATCAAGAAAATCTATACACCACAGTAATTTAACTTTAAAACTTAAAGTTTCTTATCACTCTTAGTATGAACGTAGCATTAAAAATTAGTTAAATTTTTTTTTACTGGTATTAGAATATTTCCCTACTCAACTTACAGGGGTCAGTTTAGAAGAAATTTAGGTCCGTTAACGGACCCTTCACAAAATAATTTACCTTTTAATCAGACCCTACCTTTCCCAGGGGGTGGGGAGAGAAAGACAGATGTAAACGAACTAAGTTTTGTCTTCGGTAAATGCTTTTTCCTTTATTCGTCCCAAATGAATATTCTGCGTTCAGCAGTATAGGCTAAATACCAAATATTTGTATGTTGCATCTCTAATTTAGTAGCAGCAATTGCTGTTTATCTTTTAAAATTTAATTTTCTTTCATTATAATTTTACAGTGTTGAGCATAATTCTTGTATCTCTTTACAATTTAAAAACTCGTTGAAAAAGTTTTTTTTTGCAATAACAGGACTCTATTTGCACAAATTCACAACACCAGGACCCTGTTTGAAAGAATGTGACTTAACGTTTATTTTATATTCACAAATTACGAGTCACTTTTCATAATTTTACAAAAATGGACCTTTCACAAAATGTCTGGACAGACCCTGACTTATTTATGTAGAAGAGCTTCCAACAGATCTTTTATTAGCATATAGTAAGTCTCTGGTCTATATTGAAAGTTGACATATACATATTAAAGTTTTTGATGAAAGTATTTCATCAAAGGTTAAAATAGTCAAAATCTTGCCTTCACTGATAATACATAACTTTACTATTTTCACCAAAAATGTATCATAATTATTAAAAGTATGATTAAATTCTTACCCTAAGTAAAAACAAAGAATAGCAAATAGTAAATTTACCTGTTGCCTTTATTGTATAAATTTCGCTGAACAGAAGATGGCATTGAATTCGATCTGGTGATCGTATCCGGCTTTAGCACCACATTACTCGAATTATGGGTTGGTGAGTTATCCTAATAATGATATATTCCTTTAGTCATATCAAAAAGACAAATGTATACTGTACAATAATGTAGTTTATGCCTACCTGAAAATTTTTCTTGTAGCTTTTTTTGTTTTTTAACTTTTCAGCTTCTGAAGAAAAAAAAAATTAGTTTTAGTTAAGTAAAAAAAATAAATAAATAAAATAAAAAAATTCATGGGTAATTNGCGGGGATCAATTGGAACTTCAGTTACCCAAACTTCTTACATCTCAACATCTTTCAAAGAAGACACATTTTTAATACAATTTTAGTTATTTTCATTAATCAAATTGCTAATCAAACACGAGTAATTCTTATAAATTTCAGTGAAATGAACTTCAAAAATCAATGAAGTTAACAATTCAGAGCCAGATTAAGGGGCTGGGCTGCAGCCCTAGGCCTTAGATCATCCCATGTACCAATATGAAAAGTGTAAAAAGCGTTTAAAAATACTTTTAATTAAATAAAAACCCTTAACTGACATCCTGTCCTTAATGTGGAATTTTATGATAAAATTTAAAAGAATTGCTTGTTTCTTTTGAAATTTATTTTTAAGCCAAATGACTACGTCAAATATACATAGCTTTTTAGGACCCAAATTTACATCCCAATATTTTCAAAAATTTGTCTACCCCCAATATTTTGAGGGTCAGGAATCCAAATATATATATAAAAAAATTATATGTTTATTCAGAAAAAGTAGGTTCATGTTTATTTTCCTTATTTTTATTAATAGTTAATAATTAATTAGCATATTTGAGGTCACTCTTTGAACCATTAAGATTGACACTTTGTACATGAATATCAGATCATTAAAACAAAAGTCAAGGCGATATTTTATTTTGCGCATAGTGCTTATTTTAATATGCACAACATAAACTCATTTTAAATTCTTTTTAAAAAGAATTAAATTCAGTCACTTTACTTGTTTTTGCAGTATTCATTTCATTTCATAAATTTAAAAAAATGTAAGAGTGAATACATTAGTAAATCTATTTTTACTACTTTTTGTTTGGCACACATGAGCTGCCACGTTTTTAATACATTTTTTTTTTTTAAGATTTTAAATTAATGAAATATTGGTCACTTTAATTATGCTTCGTTTATTTAACATTACATAATTATTAACTTAATGTTACCTGAATTTGCAAAAGATAGATTTTTTTAATGATAAATAAGGCTGGTGACACCTTAATCCAAACATATCTGAATTAGAGGCTTTTTGGTACAAATAGTTTATAAAAATAAGAGAGAAGGAGTTATGCCACATAGTGATACTAGCTTGAATGATTCAAAGATAAAATATCTTCAAACTTATCCGACAAAAAGACATGGTTATATTAAAACTAAGTTTAATTATACAGTCCTATTATTTAAAAAAATCCTTGATTTGTAGAGTTAATTAAAATAGATTAAAAAACTTATCTGAATAAATCAAATACTTTGATCATTTGACATCCCAGTTACTTTGGATAATTTAGGTTTTATGGTATAGCGAGTTTGTGGACAGCTTTAAAATGGATTTTAAGCAAAATTTAGTTAAGAAGAAATTTACTAATGCAGGGGTGATTGTGAGCCCAAGTCAAAATTCCGGAAAATTTCTTGAGTTTAAAAAAAAAAAAAGTTTAAATTGAAAAATTAGAAAAAAATTTAAGCAAGTTTTTTTTCTCCCTTTTTCTCAATATTTCTGGGTTTACTTAAAATATATTTAAAATTTTACACATACCTATACCATTTACATATACCTATGATGACCAGGAGAAGTAATTAAAATTTACAAATGTCTTTCTTTCTTGAGTTAATGATTATAACAACTATTTACTGATAAAAAATGAATATTAATCATGAATATAAGCTTATAAAGTATCTGGCTCTCCCTTACAAACAAATAACTTGTGTTTTTAAGTTCCACCTTTGAAAATTTGATTTTCGGAAACTTTTGCGATCAATGATTTTTTGAAACGTCTGGACATTCGATCTCCGGAAACTTCCGGATCACTGCTAGCGAAAAATCCGGAAATCCGGATTTTTTCCGGAGCACAATCAGCCCTGCTAATGCAGACAAATTTATTAATAAACGCATATTTAAAACACAAAAATTATTTAAACACATATTTTTAAAAATTAAAATCTCTATTAAATTGCTATGAATTTGCTAATCACAAAATAAGGATAAAAACAATCCTGCAATAATATTTTTAACAGTTTTATAACAATAGCATCAGCCCAAACAGTGGATAAAATTAAAGAGAACATTTTTTTAAAAATTTAACCAATCAAATTGAGGACTAATTTGTCTGGTGTTCTCTCAATATAATAAAAGGACATCTGACAAGCTTATTAGACTTATTATTTAAAAATGAGCTTGTGAATTAAAGAAAATTGTGGACAAAAATGCTTTCTTAACCATCTGATGCTAGAAAATGAACATAGAAGTGAGAAAGTCACTTCTCCACACTTTTTCCTATTCATTAACAAGATAAGTTGATTTTCAAAGTAAGGAATAATGCAAGACAAACATACTTTCCACACACAATATTGTAAAGGGATAAATTAAAACTTTCAATCAAAAAATTAAAAAAAACATTAATACATCATTAAAATGGAATTTATATTGGCTGCTCCAAAACTAGAATCAATAAATTACATGGTTTGCAGATAGAAATGTATGGTTTACTGAATTTAGCTTGGTCTTACACATCTGATTAAGTTTCAAAATGAGTGGAACATTTCTTGCACGCTGGCACTGCTGACTGGAAAAATTTATAAACAATTGTTGCATATTTATCTATATTGTCCTCAGATAATATCACATTGTTACAAAAAGTGGTTATTTTGGAATCATAGCTTCATAGGTTTTTTTCAGTTAGTAATACTATGATAAAGTTATAACTTACTTTAAAACTGAGTAATTATATAGTTTCTGAAGTAGTATACACAGCAAACTGTACATCTCTACCTACTCCTATATTTTATATTTCATAACCAACGTTGAACAGCCTAGCCAATTTTTGGGTTTACCACTAATGCTCAACTCCATAGCCTTGTAATTTTGAACCCAATCCAGAAGACAAGGGAACGTGTGGATCAAGTATTGAGAGACATTTGCCTTCGTAGAGGGCTTTTTGATGGAACTAACCCGCATTTGTGTTACATGGAGAGGAAAACCACAAAACATCCATGGTTAAAATAATGGCACGGGACTAACCCACAAACAGTCTACCACTGAGGATATTTAACGTCAGCACTGGACTCAGTGTGATCCGGGTGCAAAATTTGTATCACTCAGCCACTGCTAGGATTCGAATCCGGTTCATCTCATTGGAAGGCGAACGCTCTATCCCCTGAGCCTTCACTCCTACTTCTACTTTTATATAAATAAATTCACAGCTAGTCATTGGAATACAGTGAGATTCAGAGAAAATGCAAAAAGGGAGAATGATTAAACTTTTCCCCTAAGAGGGAAAACGTACAGAACTGTTTTATTCTTACTGTAGTAGTATTAGGTGTGCCCAAGGTGGTGTTGGCATGAAAATGTCATGTTCGATATGTTACCTTGTTACTTATTTTTTAATTAAATTTATTGTTTAATATTACTCAATTGTTTAATTAATTATTATACCAAAACCCTTACTCACAATTTAAAATTTGTTCTAATACCAGTTTAATTAAAATTTAATTTATAAGAAAGACTTACCAGATCCAGGATTGGCACAATCAACACAAACTTTATAAGTTTTGCCCCCTTGCCATGTCATTGCTGAAAAAATACAATTTCATCAGCCAAAAGATATCTAGAATAAACATTTAAAATTGCAGGACTGGAAGTCCAAAATATAGAAATTATCAAAATTTCCTCCAAACTTAAGAATGCCGATTCTCAAATAGGTGCAATTTGTAAGATATCAAAATGCATTAGCAGATATACAATTGGTAACAGTTTTAGTAGTTCCAGCACTTAAGTGGAAAAAAAAGAAACATTTTTAAAATAACTTTTCTCAAAAAAAAAAAGTTAAGCAAAAATTACCTTAGTTTTTCAAAAAAGGGGAGAATATGGAAAATCATTAAATCGTAGCGTAGCAAAGTACGAGTACTTGGTGAAAAACAGTATGATATAGTCAGAGGATGAGTAGAGAGGTAGAAACTTTATATATTTCTCCCACATCGAATGCTTTGCTTTTATGCCATCAAATCAAGGGTAATTGTTTCTAACAGAGGATGTAGATTAATATTGTACTTGTTGCGTTATGAAGACTTTAGTTTATTTTGCTAATTACTTAGTTTCATGGCCTATAACATAATTTTTGAATTTGAAATTTCTTCAATTCTTTTTGAGAAAAGTAATCCTTTCTGTTAAAATCAACAAAAATTTGGAAAAATCACAAAATTTCAAGACATTAATTGAAATGTTTAATTATGGACATTTAAGGACACTTTCTTTAAAGAAAATTAAGGAAAATTTTGTGCCCTGGCATTAATGTATCACAATAAGAGAAAATAATTGATCAGTTTAGTTAAAAAGTAAAATAATTGAAGCAAGCTTGATTTTAAAACTAAGAGCTGAATTTAAATTGATAATTTTTTTATTGAGCATTTCAACTTATTTTCATAATTATTTACTGGATCTTTCCAGAGGAATACTTAAACTAAATGTAAATTACGGCTTCAGTAAAAAAACTTAATGCTAAAGCTAGTTGGAAAATGGTCAAAATAATGAGTATAATTAATTCCTTTAACGATTCATTCTTTTTGGTTAAAAAAAAAGGTATAAATTCTTGTAGTGGACAGGAAATGTTTGTAACTTATTTAGTCATCTGACACAGAGCTCTAGTTGAAACTTGAAAGCTCCAACTAGTTGGAAAGTTGCTAGATCTTCGATTGTAAAATCCTTGACAATAACATTGGTATAATTTATTAATTGGATAGAGCATGTTTAAAATTTGATTTATCACCAGTCACAAACCTCCCAACAGTAAATATGTCTGTTTTAACTAGTTGAAAAGCTAAAAACTTTGATTCCAGACAAGAAAAAGAATAAAAATGCAAAATAGATAGTTATATCATAAAGACAAGGTAGTCATTGAATTTGGATATTGTACAAAAGAAAATATTACATTCAAATATTTACCATGATATGAAATGTTTCAAGTATACTAGAAAATAAGCAGTTATCATATAAGATTAAAAGATAATGGAGAGGCTGACAAGCTGGGGAAGAAGGGTTGCGGGTGTTTTACAACTAACACATAGTAATGTCCAGTTTAGTTCCATTACATTCTTATCAAGAATTTCTTTTTCCACTAGACATCAAAAGGAACAGGGAACTCAAACCTCTTCCGAATGTTGAGCATCCTTAGAGAAGATTTACATACTCAATTGGCCGGCCATGAAGTTTTTGCAATGTATAGGCATTTAACTCAACACATTAGTCTGGCTGGACATCAATATAACTGGTGTCTTTCTGTACCCCCTACTGTACTCTCTGCGGGGATCAATTAATTATTACCATATTTCCTACAGCAGAGCATCTTGTGTGACTACTTTAGCGGAGCGGCACTGGGATAATTTTTTTTTATCCTTTTTATTTACCAGTTAAATTTTGTCAAATTATCTGCCATAAAAATAAAAAGTCATAAAGAGAAATTGAAAATTTACTCTTAGAAAAACATCAGTTTTTAAAACATAGAAAGTTTGTATCGAAGACTAATAAACTTACCTTTATAAGCAGGAACGGGCACAATTTCAAGCACACTTGAAGACACAACGCACCTAAAAAGATAGAATAACAAAATTCAAGTTATACTTAGAAATACAAAATACACTTCAGAAATTTTTCTAACAAAAAGGGAAAACAAATTACCCCTATGTTTAAATTTGATATGTATAGTAAAGTGTAATACTAACTTTTTACATAGCTCTTCTATGTAAATAGACACATCCTCACAGTCACTAAACACTTCCTGAACATGCCCAATATAAACATCCTTATTGATATGGACCTATAAAATGACTTTGATTAGTACTTTTCATTGAAATATTGTATATAAAAATGATTCTAGTCAACAAGAGATGCCAGAAAGGTGAAGTCAACCAATGGTCAAAATTTCAAGTAGTATTTTGTTTACTTTTGACTCAGAATTTCTAAAAATAATAAATTTATATGCTTTAAACCATTTCTTACCCATTTATTATTTATACCCCGTTAAAAAACCAAATGCTTAGTTTTATAAAGCTATAACTTTAGAATTATTTAACCTTAAAGAGCTGCATTTTCATCTTTTTTATTAACTTTATCATAGTATTTCATAAAATATATAACATAAATTTATATAAAAGCTGCATTAAATTACAGTAATAGTTTAATTAAATTTATATTTGCAGAAAACTCAAAATAAAATTTTTCTAAAAATTTACATTTTATTTAGCTTTTTTGGTCATTTTTCTTGCAAAATTATAGGATGTTATTTCAATGGGATCATAATGATAAATAAGTATTTTATAGTTTAACAGTGACATCGATCATAATTGGACTTACATTAAAGAATAATTTCAGTAAAAGAGAAGATATTTACATAGATGTTAAACTAGAACTTTTCATAGCATAACCATCTTGAAATTAAGCTCTCCTTTTTCAGTATGAAAAAGAAGTTGAATAAAATATACCTTAAAATAAATAAAAATGTTAAATATTTAAAAAAGTATTTATTAAAATTACTTAATAATGTTGTGTTTTATAAAATGTCCTTACAAACTATTACGAGTTTTGTTCTTAGGAATGAAATTAGGAAAGAAATTTTATACACACTATATATTTAATAACAAGATAATTTAATATAATTTACGGTCAAATCTAATGAGTTTAAATGTTACCCATTTGCCTAAAGGTCTTACAGAAAAAATATTTAAAAAAATACCCCTCACATTCTTGTGATTGTTCCATTTTTTTTTCAAATAAAAAATTTGTTGAAGGTTTCTTAATCATTAACATATGAGGTTACACACATGAACTATTAAGATGGATTCCTAATATGGGAAAATTAGATTTTCTGATCAAAATTTATTCAGGGTAGAGTTTTTTTTTAAATTTGTAATATGCAACGCACATTGACTTTGATCTTCATGAAAAGGTAAAGCAAACAGCCTATGTCTTACTTTTGTTCGCATATTCGTGTTGATTTACCAAAACTAGTTTAGGTGTTTTATATGCTACCTTATTATTACATCTTCTTATTTGATGTTTGCATTGACTCATAATTACAAAGACAATTTACTTTTAGACAATGTTCAACATTTATGAAGTATTCAATAATTGATAAAAGTGTGCCATGAAAAAAAGTTTTCAACTAACTCAAGAGATGCCAACTTTCCCAACTAGTTATCAGTAATCAGAAGTAACATAGCACAGAAATATTATAGTTAGAGTTTATGTTCTCTTGCTTTCCTATAAGGAGAGAAGATTGAGTTTCAGAATATCTGGTTTTAAAGGGGGAATCAGAATATTTTACGTTAGCACCATGGTTGGTTCAAGCCAGATGGGAATCCGGTTCATCTCACTGAAAGGCTAACACTATTCCCTGAGCCATCGCGGCTCAATAAGGAAATTATGGGATTGATGAACTAAGAGCCGTGTATAGTACTGGGAAATTTCGCTTCTGGTCAAATGCAGTATTTTTAACAATGGCCAGTTTTTCAAAATTGAAAGTTTTTCAATGATTAAATAACTAAACAATAATAATGTAAGTGATTTTGTTTGATGTATTTCTTAAAATATATTAAGCATTATAAGGCTATTTTCTAAGAGTAAGAAAAAAAAAACAGGTATGAAATAGAGTAATTTTTAAGATTATAAAATATTCATAATTCTATATTCATAAAAAAATTAAAAGGCACACAGAGTGCATTAAAGAAAAAGGTTTAGAATCAGTGGAGACTGGCACACAATTTTTCAACCAATTTTTTTTCCATTAATTTTGCCCTATAAGTGTATGGGAATAAAATATAAATTCATTACAAACAAGTTATAGCTACCTTGCATTTAACCCCAGCTTCCAACTTTGGAATTATGAACTGTTCACTTTTCTGTTCTTCTGAAAATATAATACATCACACATGAAAACATTTTTGCAATCAGGGCCAAATTTATTTTACACATGATTATCTTATGTACATGGTAGCCACAAACACTTAGACAACTCCAGAATGATTTTATTAAATTTCCCAACTTTTTAGATTAAGTCTAAAAAATTATGCTATTGATCTTTTAATTTTGCTTTATTCTGATACATAAAATATTTATGACAAAAATTTATAGAGTTGATCACAAAAATTTAAAAAAAAAAAAAAAAAAAAAAAAACTTATTAAGGAACAAATTTATTTTAGAAAATATTGTTAGACTTTAAGAAACCTTACACTCAATTTAATTCACTTTGCCAATATTTTTTTTAGTTAAATTCCCAGACTTTTCCTTGTTTTGTGGCCACCCTGGTGTAAAAAGTATTTATGTATTATATAGTATTGTAATTGGTGAGTAACATTAGGAATATGGGTGTATCAGAAAAAGTGTTCCTTTATATATAGAGAGATAGAGATGTATACATAAAAATTTTAAATATTTATGTGACAATCTACTAACCTATTACATGAAAGCTCAAATCTTTCCATTTTCATCTGTAACTTTATGCAATCTATTGAAAAATTCATTACATCTGCCCCGCATTGCTCCCTCTGGAAATTTATTCCAAACCTGCGTCACTTATTTTTTTGAATTCTTCAACAGTTAGTACTTTTGTATTCTCATCTTTGAGAGCATATAAACCCCCACATAAAATAATAAAGTTGAAATTGGTCAATAGACAGGTTGTTCTTACATAACGAAATTGGACGAATTGCTTTTGCAGCAAATCATTGAATGAGTATGGAAACATGTAAGTTCAACTAAAATGTCAAAATTTTATATCAAATAATTGTGACAGATGTTAGAATTATCTAACTCAAATCTCAATAACTAATTACTACAGAAGATTTTAGGACTGGTTATTTTCTAGAGTATGACAGGAATTTTCCAGGCTTTTGTAAAAAATTGCAACCTTCCCTGACAATTCCAGGTTTTCGCTGTTCTTCCTGGCCGACCCATGGGAGTCCTGTTCCAAGTATAACTCAGTGTTGATTTTAGCTTCTGGACCAATAAAAAGTTGAAGCTTTCTTTTTAGGGAAATAGCATACCATCACTTTCTATGGATTTAGTACAGTTCTACTGGCAACTTATTTTGGGAATGTCTGCAAAATTAGCTGCAAATACAGAATATACACAATAGTTTTTGACTGTCTTGGAAAAAAAGTTTCTCATTCAAAAAGAGTGCCGTAACTGGCTTGCTAATGTAGTAACATCTTGTTTTAACTCTTAACTTACTATTATGCATTGGCAAGATCATACATAAATTTTTTTGCACAGTTTTAGCTGTAAATCTTCTTTAAAAGTTCTGTTCGTTGTTATGTCAATATTTGCATTTTTTTTTTTTTTTACCTCAACAGTATCTCAAACCAAAGATTGGCTTGAATTTCCCTTCTCTAACTGCTGTCACACTTGCTGTCCTAAGCATTCTTTTGGTTCCACCTCTATGATGAATAGAACAAACAGTGCTTCCATTTCTTTTTATAGTACAAAAAACAAATTTAAGACAAACAAATTTAAACTATAATGCAATGCAAACATTTGGGAACCTATTCTGGTATCATCCTTTACTTATTTATACATAAAATTGTCTCAAGGTTAGGCAATTTCCCTTATGTTCATATTTTACCCCTCTTCTTTACATGGTTTCGACAAAGCTCGATGTCTTCTACACCAGCAAACTCCAACTTCTTACTGAAACATACTGCCATAATGAAGATACAAGATTTGTTTAAAACATGGTAAGGAAAGAGAGGGAAGTGTGCATCATGTAACCTAGAGATGTTCATTCTAGTAATAAAGAGTATAAATATTAAAAAGTAGACAGAACATCTATGGCTATTTTTTGAAGCTCATTCGCCAGAAATAATCCCACTTTTATATTGTACCCCAAGAAATTAAATATAGAAAGTAAAATAGTGAAAGCAGTTCCATTAGGGAGAAATAAAAGTCTAAAATTAAATGAAAAGGTATCAGAATAAAACATCTACATCAAATTTTATTTATGGATAATAGAAATGTAGTTTAGAAATATCTAATTTATAGTCTTTGTAAATGAAAAAGGCATTTCAAGGTTATATAAATTTCCCACTTTACCCCTCTCCATTACCGTGGTAATAGCAAATCTCACTTTCCCCCCACCTTAGTATGTTTTAGAAAGACATTGTAATAAGAAACAAGAAGTTTATACGTTACTTCTATTTGAAAGCTTATACTCTTATGTTACTGAAATATAGTTATACCAAGATTATATTTTATGATTTTACATAAGAGCCTTAAAAATACTTTAATATAATTTGTGGTTTAAAACAATTCATTAAAAAAAGTATTCGATCAGATGACACCAACTTTAAGAGTAGCTGTAGAAATTGAAAATAACTATTGCTGTCTCCTGACATCAGGGCTATTCATTATAGCAGAGAACAAAATGGAGTATAACAAACAAGAGAAACTATAATGAGCTATAGATACTCTTTAACGTACGGATGAATAAAAAAAAGTTAATGCTGCCTATTAGATCCTTGCCAAAATGTGACACTGAAACACTAATTTTATTTACTTACGTAAATTGAAATAGTTGCAAAGAAAATCTGACATTTAAGTTTTCTTCTAAGAAATTAAAGCAAAATAGCGAATCTGTTTTACTATGACAAATAAAAATGGACAACACATATACTTATGCAAGTAAATTTAAGAAACTCAAAATTTTGTCATTTAGTAAAAATACAAATTCTATACTTTTACCTTTTCTTTTTTCATTCCATAAATCAAACTCCACATTTCTATAAATTCCAGGATCTAATGTCTTGGCAACTTTATAAGGGAATGGTGGTACTCCTTGCGCCAAAGCTTTGCGAATTTCTAAGCGAGGAGTATGGCCAACCTGAAAACACACAAGTATATGGCTAACGTATAACATAATATTTTTCTCACAATATAAGTTTGAATTGAGAATAAAAGGTTAATTTATGATGGAATAAATATGATTTATTTTTAACATAGAAAGATAGTTTAATTGGACAATATTTCAAGAATTATAGTAAGAAAACACTTTGAAAATTATGCAATTATAAATTTTTTTTAATAAGTAGGTGATAAACACGAGGTAAATTGAAAGATAATGTATTATAAAAATCTAAAACTTTGGATTGCTGAACAAATAAAATAGCTAAGTTTCATTTTAACTTAATATAATTTTTTTCATTAAAAGATCTTAACACAGGGTTCCCACTCAATTCAATGACCTAAAATTAAAATTTTCAAGGCCCTATTCAATAATGCAGTTAATATGCTAAAATACATGTCAAACAGATTTTATAATTGAGTATAAGCAGAAATAGTATATTTTTATACATAGATTAGAATATTGCTGTTTCAAATTACTCAGTAGACCATAAAAAAAAAATTCCAATTTACATTGGATACTTGCCAACTTTTAAAAACTGGCATCTGACAGTGAAACTTTTCAAGAAAAAATCAAATGAAGCAAGTTAGAATAGAAGAATAAATTACATTAAACAGGCATAGTAAATAACTGATAGAATTTATCAGAGAGGTGGACAATAATCTGGCATAAAAAAAAACTTAGGACAGAAAAATCTCACACCTACCCTTCCCTTTTTAAGCATTAAAAATTGGATCTATAATAAATTACTAAATTTTTGGAATGGAAAGGGGGAAAAATCTAAATTTTCCCCCTTAGCTCTAGCTCTCTCTCCATTCCATCCAAACTACAATAAAATTTTCCCATTTCAGTAAAATAAAATTTATTTCATAAACTATGTGCTACAAAATTAATGCATGATACCAGTGGTTAAAAGTGATTAATATTAAACATGGTTTGTTTCAATATTTATTTTCACAATTGATTTCCCTCACATCCTACTTGTATTTTGTCATCCAATCAAAATCGCATGAGGTAAATAAGGACATGGGTCTTGAATTCCTTATTTACCACTCAGGGATCACATCTAGAAAAAATTAAAAACGTAGCTGAAAAGTTATGAAATAAAACCATGAAAACATAATATAACCTTTCATCTCACTGAAAAAGGAAATGCTAAAAATGAAGTATAAACCAGACTTCCAGATCAGAACACCACCTCTAATTAGTATTTACTGAAGTAATGTGTTTGTACAAATTGTCAAATTTTAAATAGTTATTATGAAAATTTAATGAATGATTTCTGAATTAAAGTAAGATCATATATATTCAATATTTGTATATTTTATAATTATTTTTAACAGTAATCATTTATTACAGGGTGCATAGCGAAATCTTTGAATCAAAAATAAGCACTTTTTAAAAACTTTTCAAGCACTTAAAAAATTCATATTCAATCAATGATATTACTGAAAAACAAAAAATTTTTATAAACAGTTTTAGCGTTAAAAAAAAAACCAAAAAGAAACGGGCGTAAATCGAAACAATCAGTACTTTCCCACATCACCGAGTGAATTCAACTTGACCCTGAACTAAGAACAAAAGTACCCTTACCCCCTACGTCAAAAAAAGTGTTAGAAGTAAAATAAAATAAACAAAAACAAAATTAAAAACAATTCATAAGGATCTGATATTCTCTATCCGAATTGGAGCACTCGGTTTCGGTTTCAAGTGTGCGCGCATGGAAAGTCATAATGTGGGTACGACATGAAGTCTGCGTGAATGATTAAGTAGCAAACTCCCCATTTTTCGTGAAATGCATGGGATCCACCAGATACCACTGAAGGGAAGAAAAAAAATTATTCGAAAAAAAAAAAGCACTTTTCAAAAACGCCAGCTGAAAAAAGCACATTTAAAAGCTTTTAAAAACGAAATCCCCAAAAAAGCACCAATAAGTACTTTTTACAAACGCTACACACCCTGTATTATATGCATTTGATATTTGCAACAGATGCCTTAACTCCACCTATATTCTAACAGTAAAATTTTGTAGAAATATCTGATGGTGCAGCCTTTCACAAGGAAATTAAAATATTACAAACTTTTCTTTTTAGTCAAATTTTGTGGATCCTGCATATATCCCAGTGTGGCATATTTCCACAAAATTACAGTATTCAAAAAGATTTTAATGGAAAAAGTAGAGACAACTTAAAAAAAAAATAATTTTTTTTTTTTTGCCCAAACCTAATAACATCGTTAAGCGCTTTTTTTAAAAAAGCCCGTAGAAGGATTAATTATAAAACATAGGAGGAGTGACAATGATTACTGTTAAAAATATTTTTACATATGACAATTTGGATGGCCTTCAGGCTGAAACTTTTGTTTTACCTACACATAAAGGATAAAAAGTTACATAAATTATTTATACTGTATATAACTTACTAGAGTTAGTGAATTGCTTTCATTGACCTGGTACATTAATATTGAATCTACTAAGATGAAATTTCTTTTCTCTTTGAACTTTACAATTAAACCTTAAAAGTGCTATTTAGATGAAACCAAATGGTAAATTTATAAATAACAGTAAAATTATATCATACATTTAATATAGAAAATAACTGAAATTTAAAATTCATGCTTCTCAAAATTTTTAATTCCAGTAACAAGACAAAACATACCTTTAATGAAACTTGATCATCTTCTGGTAAATTATTGTCTTCAACCAAGCCCTCAATGCGACAACTGAAAGAAACAAAGATATCAGTAACATAACAAAAAACTCCACTACAATTATTAATTCCATTAATTTCAAGTTGTTATGAACAAGAACAATTTAATACAGTCAAACTCTGAAAGCCACACATCTTGGAACTCAAGGCTTTGAGATTATAGATCATTTATTTGTTTAGTGTTTAATGATCTAATATTCACATAATATGCATAAAAATAAATATACAAAGGAGAACTAATATACCCTATGACAATTACCTATTTATTAAAATAATCTTTTAGTAACCTAATTATTTTTTTGGCCTTTTTGGAACGTAGATCTTATTGTAGTACCAAAGAACTTATTTCGTCATTGCATAGATTCTATTGTACCTCTGCAATGGTCTTTCCGATCAAGTTGAAAATCATAAAAAATATGCTATTTTGATCAAACTAAATATTTAAAAAATAAAGCAACTAATGCTAAAAAAAATAATTTTGGTTAACTGCAATCAGCAGTTGCTAGTTTATATTCTAAAATCATGGCAGATTTTAGAAGATTATGGAATTTAGATAGTTTACAATACTTTAATCTCCTATCACAATCGGTGAAAAGATTTTAGGAAAGTCCAAGAATAAAGGGATTAATAACGTTTAAGTAAGCTTGGTACAAGCGGTGGAATCTGCTAGAACTTGTAAAACAGAAATATTTCATACAAAAGTGATGAATTAGTGCTATTCCTTATGTCAATTACGTAAAAGCAAGGAAGATCATTTAGACAATTTTATGATACAAAGGAAAACATAAAACATTTAGTAGTATCTCTCCATTGACACATTTTTCAGTTTTTAATATATTATATGAATTCAAAGATTTTTTAGTATTAGAAAAGGCATTGCAATTTTTAGATACTGTATGCCTCGGCGTATAACGCGCACCCGTAATTTCTAATACACTTTTTTAGAATTTTAAAATATACTCTTCATATAACGCGCACGAAAATTTGGATTGTACGTGTGCAATATCTCGTCTTTCAAGGTCGTAAATAAAAAGTTTTTTTCCCTATCTTTTGCAAAAATAAACGAACTGAATTTGATATGTATGTGAGGGTAGAGTTGAAAGAGTAATAATGTGATTCTGAGAAAAGAGATTGTTGTATTCAGCAGTGCAGGTGTGTGCAAGAATGTTGTTCTCCACATTCCAGAAGTAAAGGAGTAAGGGGTATCTGGAATGCTCTCTATTGTGTATGTCTCAAAAGCATACCACAAATCAGGAGACAAAACGTAATTCCTCTTCTGCCAATCGCACCATTTGATGCCCTGCCTTTGAACATTGTAAGCTTTAAGAATTCAGTGCAGTTTTTAGTAGTAGACATGGCTCCTATCAAACGAAGCGAACACAGAGCTGGATTTAAATGCAAAGTACCGTAATTTATGGAAGAAACGCTGCACTTGTGATAATGAGACTTAAAAGAAAAAAATCATGGTAAACGCCGCACATGTTGTAACACCGCACCCATAAGAACGATTTAGCGGCAAAAGTGAATATATAACATTAATTCCTTATAAATACTACTAATGTTTTAAATTAAAATATAAATTAAAATTTATAAATGTATAATTATAATAAAATCAAGAATGTAATCTGCTATTGTATATTTTGGACAAACTGCTCAGAACAACATGTTACAATCGGCTGTTGGTGCCATCGTTAGGTAAAAAATTTAAATAACTATATTTATATTACTTTAATATAAATGATTTT